TGGACATCCGGCAGCAGCTAGCCCAGGAGCTCAGGGGCGTCAGCCTGATGACAGATACCCTGGAGCTGACCCTCGGTGTAAAGTGGATGGACCCCTACGAAGTCGCCACCGAGGAGGGGATTCTCCCACCTTTGCCTCGGCAGGAGACGGAGCGAGCCATGGAGATCCTGAAAGTGCTCTTCAATATCACCTTTGATTCCAGCAAGAGGGAGGTGGATGAGGTAAGCTCCTTGGGTGTCCCACCCCACTGCATTCGCGTGTCTCCAGGCTGGGGTTTGACTACTGGTCTTCTCCTCCGCTTGCGTTTCCTCGTATCACATACCGGCCCTTGTGCAGTCCCCGGGTACAGGTGAGGACAGCGAGAGACTGTGAGGTGTGTCTGAACCTTCTTCCCTCGAGCACTGCCTCTGTCCAAGGCATATTAACCCTTGAGACTTTCAGAGTGTTAAAATTTAGAAGTTGGGCGTTTTTCCTTCTTAATGAGATGATTCATTGTGCAAGAGGGAGAGCAGAGCCCCCAGATAACTCGCTTCTGAGCCTGGCCCGTCACTCTTCCACCTCTGGATGAGGCCAAAGGGAAGGTGTGCTGGAGAACATCTCTGGCTAGTCCATGGGCATGTTCTGGGGCCTCTTGAGCTCTTGACTCAGTGTTGTAGAGTGAGGGGAAAGGTGTCGGGCAGCAGGAACTCTGAGCCTTGACCTCAAAAGGGAGAACTGGGAGGCCGTTTCCACTTAACCACCCTGCTGCCAGTTATCAGGCTGCCGGAGGGAGGGATGGGGCTGTGGCTGCAGGGGCAGCAGGCTCTGGGATGTGGAGGATCCCCTTTCCCAATCAAGGTTTTCGTTTTCTCTTTCGGGGCCAGGAAGATGCTGCTTTGTACCGGCACTTGGGTGCCCTCCTGCGCCACTGCCTCATGATCTCTGCGGACGGAGAGGACCGGACGGAAGAGTTCCACAGGTCTTTGTTAGATGACTAGGTCCTGATCTGTGCTAGAAACGGGTGTCCCCAAGGCACGTCCTGCCTGACCTCGGCACTGACATCCTCTGCTCTTTGGGTGGTCGCTGAGGTCACTGCTGACAGGCGTCTCTGGTTTGGCCTGCAGGTTCCTGCTGCTGCTGGACCTCGGCAGTAGCCCTGGTCTTTGCACAGTCAAAGCGTGTTTGCCAGTGCCACAGCCTCCCAGTCTGCAGGAGGAAACGTTTTCTCCAGGCCTGCCTGACCCCGAGGGCCGTATCTGATATCCTGTGCTGGGCCTTCTCAGCAGTGCCACCCGCTGCAGTGGGCAGCTTGCCAGAGCAGATGTTTGGTACTTTTTAATGAAAGAGTCCACGGTCTGGCCTTAATTAACTGTCTCTTGAGCCGTGCTGAGAAATTGCCTGTGTCACATCGCTGAGCATCACTGGTCCAGGGACGTTGGCTTTGAGCAGGTGATACCATCCTGTCTCCGAGAGAACTAAGCAGTGCATCACATTGACCATGGAGGTGAGAACGAGTGATGCAGCAGGAGACCCTAGAGACAGACCTTTGACCACCCAAATTGGTCCCACTCGGCCTCTGTGTCAGGATCCGTGGTTTCTCAGTTGTCACTGAAGTCTCTTTGGACTTCCAGCAGATAGTTCAACGACCCAAAAAGCAGTTTACTTCAGTCCCTTCTAGTGGTGTGAGGTGCTTGGGATGCAGCCCAAAGACAGCTTGGATCTCAGGGTCCTCACGCTCCGGGATGTCAGTAATGAACCTTAATTTCTGGGTAGCTGAAGAACTTGCGTGAGCAAAGATCCGTGACTGTGTGTTCGCTTCTGTTCTCTGTTTAGTCACACGGTCAACCTTTTGGGCAACCTGCCCCTGAAATGCCTGGACGTCCTTCTGACCCCGAAAGTCCGGCCGGGCTCACTTGAGTACATGGGTGTCAACATGGACGCGGTCAGCATTCTGCTGGATTTCCTGGAGCGGCGCCTCGACAGGGTGAGTCATGGGGCTGCTGGGTGAGCTCGTCGCTGCTCGCTTTCCCAAGTTTGCTGCTGAGCTCCTTTCCTTCGGCCTATGCTCATCCTCGAAAAGCCCAGTGCCAACACCACGGGAGCACCAGTAAGGCTTGGTTAGTTTGGAGATATCCCTGTACGGAAGGGGCAGTTTTAGCAGAGGCAGAACTGTTACGGTTGGTGGGGTCGAAACAAGATCTGTCAGCTGAGAACGTGGCTGCGCCGTTGCTTTGGGGGCTACAGGTGGTGAGACTGGTTGAACAGTGAGTGGCTCGCTGGGTGATGGAAACATCAGTTTCTGTTTCCCTCGGTAGTGAGCTGGTGGGCAGCTTCTGGGAGCCTGAATTTGCATTATTTTCAGGCTGGCTGTGGCTTTCTGTCATAGAATCATAGAATGGTTAGGGCTGGAAGGGATCTTCAAAGGTCATCTAGACCTTTGAGGTCAACTCTGTCTCCAGAGTTATTCCAAAGGGCCTCTGAATTTTACTGTAGCACTGCTCTGCTCTGCCCTGCACAAAGATTTCTGGCATTGCCGTGCCACAGAGCGGGGAAAGCCGTGTTGGTTGGGGCTTTAATGGCTTTAAACTGAAAGAGGGGAGATTTTGGTTAGATCTAAGGAAGAAATTCTTCCCTCTGAGGGTGGCGAGGCACTGGCACAGGTTGCCCAGAGAAGCTGTGGCTGCCCCATCCCTGGAATTGTTCAAGGCCAGGTTGGATGAGGCTTTGGGCAACCTGGTGTGGTGGAGGGTGTCCCTGCCCATGGCAGGGGGGTTGGAACTCGATGGTCTTTGAGGTCCCTTCCAACCCAAACCGTTCCATGATCCTATGGGGGGTGTTGAAGCACCGCAATCCCTCTAGCAGAGGCTGGATGCAAGGCTTTGGTGTCCGTCCGTTTCCCTGACGCTCTGTGCTCGCGTTCTCCACCACGAGCCAGGCAGGTTGAGCTCAGCGTGACTAACGTGTTGCTCGTTCCGTGGGCGCTGCCGCAGGGACACAAGCTGAAGGAGAGTTTGACCCCTGTGCTGAACCTGCTGACGGAGAGCGCCCGGGTCCACCGCCAGACGAGGAAGTTCCTGAAGGCGAAGGTACGCCGTAGCTCAGCCGAAAGCTGCGTGATGCTGCACTGGGGAGAGCGGAGAATAGCGAACCGCTGGATTGTTGCCATCCTCCAAACAGACCTCCTCTGCCTCTCTACTGGGTCTGATATACGGGTGGTTGAGGCTTTTGGTACCCACCGTGGTTTTTCCACGTCTCCCACGCTCTCTGCATTGATTAGTTTTAGCTGATTTGCAAAACACACGTACGTTTTTCCCTGTCGGACCTGCCGTTGCTGTTCCAGCTCCACTGATCGCCCCTCGCTGTGCCCTTGTAGGTGCTGCCGCCGCTCCGGGATGTGAGGAATCGGCCGGAGGTGGGGAACTCGCTGCGGAACAAGCTGGTGCGTTTGATGACCCACATCGACACCGACGTGAAGCACTGCGCGGCGGAGTTCCTCTTCGTGCTCTGCAAGGAGAGCGGTGAGTTGCAGGGGCTCTGCGTGGGCTTTGGTGACGGGGAGTCTTGGAGCTTGGGAGAGCGTGGGATGGGTGACCCTTCGCAGCCAACGGGAACGTCTGTCTTCCCTTGGGCCAGATGACACTGAGTAGGGAAAAGCGGAGAGTATCCAAGTGCTCTGTGAGAAGGAGTTGCTGTCTCTCATGCCAGGGGTGAGTGAAAAGCTCTGCTGGAGGGCACCTTGACGCCCTGCAGACAGCCTGGCCTGCGTGCTGACCTCCCCACCATGGGTGTTGTCCCTGCCGTTCCTGGTGCACAGCGTGGGAGCCCTGCTCCCTGTCAGAGCTCGAAGAAGCGTTGGCGTTCCGGGGTCTCCATGGCCTCGCACTGATCGTGCTGTTGGGGCCCGTGGGAGCAGACGGGGCTGGCAGGGAAGCACAGCGTGCTCTCTCTCCCCTTCTCCTGGCAGTGTCGCGGTTTGTGAAGTACACGGGCTACGGGAACGCGGCCGGGCTCCTGGCAGCACGAGGCCTCATGGCTGGTGGTCGGGAAGAGGGAGAGTACTCAGAAGATGAAGACACAGACACTGAGGAGTACAAAGAGGCAAAGCCCAAGTAAAGAAGTCTGCTCCCCCTCTATAGCACCCCTCTTCCTACACCTTCTTCCCACTCTGTCCCGTTCTTCATCTGCCTCCCTGCCCTCTCCCTCACCCTGCTCTTTCACGTGCACGTTTCCTTCCGCGTTACTTAGCGGTTTCACCCTTAGCTTCAGTGTCCTGTTCCACCACCCCTGCCTGTTCCTTGGGTGAAACGCCTCCGTGGCCAAGCAGCTCGTGGTGTGGGTGGTCACCGGTGTGTATGTTTGGTTCCTTCAGCCAGAGCCCGTTCTGCACCAGACCCGTTCACGGTGTGCACGTGGCACTGTGCCTCTCTCTAACCTGGTTCCAGACTGCACTGTGGAGTTGGCAGGATGGGGATACTGGTCGCACCAGAGAAACGGGAGGGATTTGTAGAGGGGGGTGCCTGCGTGTAGGATGCACAGGAAGAGGTTGGGAGCACCACGTTGCACTGCGGTAGCGCGTGGGGCTAACGGGACGAGCGGCAGCGACGACCAGCCTTGCCGCTGTGCTCGGCGGGGGCAAAGCGGGATTTGAAAGGGCCCTTTTCCCACTCCCCTGCTTTACCTCCCTCCCTCGCCCCGGCCTCGCCGTTCCTCTTGCAGCATTAACCCCGTGACAGGACGCGTGGAGGAGAAACTGCCCAACCCCATGGAAGGGATGACTGAAGAGCAGAAGGAATACGAAGCCATGAAGTTAGTCAACATGTTTGACAAATTGTCCAGGTACTGAAAATGGTGTATGTTCGTGTCTGCGTTGGCACCTGCGTGTCTGTAGTTCACGTTTGTCACAGACCTTTCCTTGGATGTGTTCCCACGGGTACCACTAACTGAAGAGGGGCAGGAGAGAGTGGGGGAGGTACACGGGGAAGTATTTCCTTAAGCTGTGTGTTAGAGGGAGAGGAACGCTGGTGCCAGTGCTGGTTTTCCTCTGGCAGTTCCGTACCACACAGAATGGGACCCTGGGCAGCCTGTTCCAGGGAACCCGTGGATGGCAACACGTGGGGGTTGTGTCTCCAGCCATCGCCTCGCCGTGCTGGAGGTTTTATGGTCCTCTGCTTCTAGAAAGGGATTCTTGATGGCAGCCTGGGGTCGTCGTGGGCTGCCTCGGGGCGGTTTGCACGGGCCCCACGCTTCTGCTGTAGCACACGTCTGTTCCTGCATCAAATCTGTGTTACCTTCTCCCCTATCCTCCCTGGTCGCAGAGAGCAAGTCATCCAGCCCATGGGCATCACGCCGAGCGGCAGCCCTGGCGCCCATGGAGAGCCCCATCCGCGACGTGGCTGACGAGCGGTCGTCGTCCGACTCGGACCTGGGGCTGGACTGACCCAGACCCCCCGCCACAGAGAGCTGGGGGGCATCCACCCGCACCCCGTCCAGGTCTGGGGCTGCACCCAGAGCTTGTGCTGGGCCAGGGCTCTCCCTGGGGGTTCTGCACCCGTCCCGGACCCTGCAGTCCACAACAAGGAACACCACCTGCCTCCTTCCCAGCTCCATATCCGCCTCTCCTTCCAGAGGGTCCTCGTGGCCTGGCTCCACCTTGATCTCTCCTGTCAGCAGCCTTGAAGATTTCAGACTCCAAATTGCTTCCAGGACTTTCCAGTAGGCGTTTTTTTTTGGTTTTTTTTGTTTTTAAAAATGTGATGTTTGGGAAGAAGGGTTGG